CAGTCAAAACTATGGACTTTAAGATAAATTATATGTACATAAAACATTGCTATATAAAATCGAGACGAATAATTAAGTATGTAGTCTTGAACATAATTGGTTTTAGTTTTATATTATTTTTTTATTAAAGATTTGAAACTAACAAATAAAAAATTCAAGTCTTAGTAGAATCACTTTCGTCAATTCAAATTAGAAAAGATTATATTAATCGTTATTTTTTGAGATGAGAAATAATTAAAGGAGTCAACATATCCAATTTAATAAATACTACTAGTCTACTACATAAAGATTGACCGTTGTAGAGGAAAATTTAGTTAATTTTAATACAAACTTATCCATCCATAATCTCACCAGACACCAAATTATTCTCTTAATTAATATACTCCTTGGTTCGAGTATTTGGCTTGTTCATTATATTAAATAAATTTTTATTTTTATTTATTTATTTAGTTTTAAAATTAAAAAATAATTTATCACTTTATAATTATGCTATTCTTATTATTAAATATTAGTAGTATTTATTTCTTAATATTTAGATAACTTATAATAAACATGAATCATGTAGTGAAATTACTACTTTATTTGTGGCATATACATAGTTTTGCCTTTGATTTGGTGTCATATGAGATCTACGCCTTCTAACTTTGGAGGTGTACAAGTAAATGTTTAAATTTGTATCAAATTGAACGAGTAGACATGTATTCTACATGGCAATTCATGTGAGATACAATCGTTCTACATGACACGTCGAGTGTGTGTGTCTATTTGTTCAATTTTATACAGGTTTAAAGATCTACTTGTGCACACTCAAAGTTGGAGGGCACAAATATTAGATGACGCTAGGCTAAAATATATGTTTATGTATTATATCTTTATTTATCGTATTAAGAAATGTGTCGAATGAATAATGAACAGGTAAAAACGGACGGAAAGCGTGTAATACACCTAATTAATTTAATCAAAATGAGAGGAACCCTCATTTACTTTCCAAAAATAAGAAGACAGTGAGGGCCAGACATGGTGTCATGACTGCTAAATTTTGGCATAATTTTCTTGATTTGTTCATTCATTCAAACATGTGTTCAATTTCTTGTCTCTTTCTCACTTTTTTTTTTATTCTTGGAAATTTCTTTCCAAAATTATGTTCTAATAAAATAAAATGAAATACATAAATTTCAACTTGAAGACGTTGATAAGTAAGCGCGAAAATTCAAAATAATAATTGTGTGAGATTGTTTTATTTAAATTCAAATTTATAAAATATAAGATTTGTATTCATTTTTTGATGGGACAAAAAGAATTTTAATGTTTTAATATGAGACACATAATAAAGGTTTTCATAAAATACCTGGTATATATACTTTTCCATAGCTTAGGTATTATCATGATTTAGGTAAATTGAAATATTTACTCATGTTATCTTTATTGAGTTTTTTAAAATCTAGCGTCTCCAAAATTTTCACTCGCTTCATTGATAACTCTGTCACTAAAATTTAGACAAATTAAAATAATCGTCAAAATTATTTACCAATTTTATGGCATGACCAATTACAGGGAGTAATATTATTATTGAACATAGAAACTTATCCATAATTACCTATCACACTAGTTAAGATATTTCATGAGATTAAATATCATATTCTTTGCAAGATATCTATAATTAGATACAAACTAATTACATTTTATTTCATAATTATTATTTTTATTCGTTTTTTACCGACAAAATTGACATATTGGTCAAAAGCACATGTTCAAACTTTACCAAATTGATTTTGATGGTTGTCAATTGACGAAAATTTTTACTATGGGTGAGGCCCAACCAACCAAAGTTGGAAGAGGCTCCACCCATTTTTTGACATGTGGATCGTGGGGCCCAAACTATTAGTTAAGGCTAAAAAATGAAACCAAAAGGAGAGAGAATGTAAAGTTTGAGTGGGAATTGCAAGATAATTGTGGAACTAAAATAAATAAATTGAACTCTCACAAAAATGTAAAAATTCATATAATCAACCAATTGAGCTACTAAAATTCATTCGGTATTATTTATTACAAAATTCACAATTTAATTTTAATTATTTAAATTTTAGTCATTAATTTATTTTTTGAGATTTTCAATTTTAACCACCCAATTCTTAATTGCCTTGTAACTCTTCTTAATACACTCTATTTTAATTATCTAAAATAAATAATAATTCCGAAAAAATATTTTAAATAATATGAGACGGAGGGACCACAAGTTTGTATAGAACCTTTTCTCAATTAATAAATGCTAACATAATGTACATTCTCACTAGTCACTACGATTTGTTATGTCTTTTTTTATTTTTGTATTTTCTTTTTCAAACTGTTCTTGATATGCATTACTTAAGTCAAGGATCTTTCAAAAACAGTCTCTCTACTTTCGCGACGTAGGGACAATGTATGTGTACATACTCTAGTCTCCTTAGACCCTATATGTGAGATTACATATGATATGTTGTGTTTTATTTGTAGCCCGTCCTAAAAAAATTGGTACATTTCTTTTAGAAACAATCAACTTTAACTTTCTATATACCCTTAATTAGAGTTTTTATAGCCACACAAATATTGTGTCACATTTAAAATTATACAACAACAATATATCTAGTGAGATCACACAATTGTGGGAATATACACATATATACCTTATCACTATTTCGTGGAGGTAGAAAGGTATTTTTGAAATATACCTTATCACAATTGTAACTCTTCTTAATACACTCTATTTTAATTATCTAAAATAAATAATAATTCCGAAAAAATATTTTAAATAATATGAGACGGAGGGACCACAAGTTTGTATAGAACCTTTTCTCAATTAATAAATGCTAACATAATGTACATTCTCACTAGTCACTACGATAAATAATTTAACTAATGAAATAATTTATATTTTGTGTAAATGAAACGCAACATGATAAAATTAACCAACAATCATTTAATGAGATTTTCGAGTTTTCAAAACAAACGATATCACTTTCTTTTTTTCCGCTCTTTTTTCATATTGTCCTCCATTTCTTCACCCCATTGCTTTAGTAGCATTAAAGGGTTTATTTAATAGGTGATTAGAATTATGCATGTCTTCAATTTGGTATTTGACGTTAATAGTAAATTAGTTTGAAGACAATAAAGAATACATGAATCTTATCTTATCTTGTAATATAGAACTATTTTTAAAAGTAACGCGAGTTTAAAGAAAATAGAGTGTAAACAAATTTCAATATAAGAATAATATTTTTAATAGATATTCAATTCAACACGTTAAATAAATGTGGATATAAAATAGAAAATAAAAATATTGATCAACTAATAATATGACTTTTTATTCCCTTGCACTTTTCCACTTTCAATATAATATTTTAATTTATTTAATTGAAATTGACATGAACCCCACAATTATCTTGCAATTCCCACTCAAACTTTACATTCTCTCTCCTTTTGGTTTCATTTTTTAGCCTTAACTAATAGTTTGGGCCCCACGATCCACATGTCAAAAAATGGGTGGAGCCTCTTCCAACTTTGGTTGGTTGGGCCTCACCCATAGTAAAAATTTTCGTCAATTGACAGTAGTTATCACTTATGAGCTAGATCGATATGTTCACTCTTAAATATATGTTCTTCAATTTGAAATTTTTGAAGAAACCAAAGTTTAATTTAATTTGCAAGATCGGGGATAATTTAAGTTCAATTAATTAAGTAAATGAGTGTTTTTTAAGATTGTTAATAGTTTGAGGATGAAATTGATAATTCGTGACGAGTTTAGGGAAGCTTTCAATATTTCTCTAAAAATATCAATGGATGTATTTTAGATTCAATTAATCAAGATGATGTTTTCAAGGTTGTCAACCGTTCAAAAAATTGATAGAGAAATGAAATAATATGTAAAAGAGAAATCTCATTGATTAGAAAGATTCTCTTTACTTTAAAAAAAATTGAATTTGTGAAGAGCTAGTAAATTAAAAGTGAGCGAAATATTCGCGTGCATGAGAAATAGATCTGAACACAAAAAAGATGAATTTTCCCTCCCAACTTGTGAGATAAAAAACATACGCAAATAAAAATAAGGATTATACATATTATCTATATGTGAAAGACGCAACATTTATTGAATTGATATAAACAAAAATACAAATATTTTTTTCTTACTTAGGTGTGTTATCTTTAGCTCATTTGCCAATGAAATGCAATATCAAAAGCCAATAGATCAATCAATATATTGGGCCATGGGCTATCTATTTCCACAAATGTTATAGAAGTGACAACTAAGTTATTGCTTGTAATATCCCAATTTAAAATATAGACATAATACGTAAATGTGTTCTTCAACTTAACCTTATTTCATATTTATGCCATTCATTTTCGACATGCACAAATAGGCACTTAAACTTGTATAAAATTGAACAATTAAGTAGACATATGAATCCTACATGACATACTACATGTAGGACACCGTGTAGGATAGAAATTACCATATAAGAGGCCACATAGGACAAATGTGTCTATTTATTCAATTTTAAACAAATTAAAGTGTCTATTTATGCACATCAAAAGTCGAATGACATAAATATATGTTGAGGCAAAGTTTAACAAACTTGTGATAAATAGACTAAAAATAGCACACCAGCCAACCCGTTTATTGGCTCCCTCTTCGAGAAACTGTCATTATCATGGAGTTCAAATTTCCTCTGATGACACTCGACGACAATACCAAGGGTCTATCGAAGACAATCGCTCTACCCCACAAAGGTAGGTAATGTTTGCTTACACCCTAATCTCTCCAAAGGCCACATGGAATTATATTAAAATACATTGTTAACACTCAATCTCGTCTTAAAGTTTCAAATTTAGAGTTTCACCTATGAAATTTAAACAGTGGATCAAACGGCTACTTATGCATACAGCGCCCTCCCAATTTTGGTTAGAGATTTCACAAGCAAATAGCCCAACAGAAAGAAGAAATAAAAAGTCATAAAGGAAACCAATTGAAAACCAAAATGACCTAACAAATTTACATGATATTTAGAAGGTGAAAGTTTCAAACATTTGAGATACTAAGCCCAAAAGTTCAAAAGCATAAGAGACTTGTGTTTTTTCACAAACACATTAGATAACAAAATCCTTAAATGCTATTCTTTTAAGTTCAAAATCCTTCACTAACAAGAAAAATAACATACATAAACTTAATTCCCATCTTCAGAAGATTTCAAGTAAAGATTCTCACCTCCATCACCACCATGACCACTTGAGCTTCCGCCCCGTCCTTGATCAGACATAGAACTTCCCATTTCATGCTTGTTTCCACTGCCTAATCCTCTGCCAAAGTCAGGGAAACCACCACCACCAATGCTAGCATTATGAGTGTTTTCGCTTTGTAGCATGTGAAGTCCACTACTGCTTCCTCCACCAGAGCTGCTCATTCCGAGTTGCTGGCTATGATAGGCTGCTTGCTGTTGTTGCAATGATGATAATTGTTGTTGTTGTTGTTGTCCATAGAGCATTGAGGAGGAGGATCTTGCTGCAGCCATAAGCGATTGCGTTGTTAGTTGTTGAGCTTGTTGTTGTTGCATATAATGTGCCCCTCCCTGCATCATCCCACCAGAAGCTAACTGAAGGACATCAAACTCACAACTACAAATTAGCTTATAAAACATGTTAAGCCTATTCAAGAATGACAAGAAACAACATGTGTTAATTAGCTTATGTACACTTCAGGTCACCAAAATGTTAACAACATATCCAGTGTAATTCCACAAGAGGGGTTGTTTCTGAAAGTCCCTCGGCTCAAAAGGGAAGTATCTGACTTAGGATTGTAAGAAAAGAGACAACAAAGTCGCAGGAAACAAAATAAATAAATGCAACAAGGGAGTAATACACATTGAAGCTATGTTGCTCACAGTCTTCAAAAATATCAAAGGGTGTGTGTCGGATACTCAAAAAAGTAAAGCATTTTTGAAGTACCCGACACGCATGCAGCCACAATTTTTGGAAAGTCCGAGCAATATAGCATCATAGAATAAGAGGTAACCTAAATGTTACTACTGGTAATCGTCTATAAAACAAGACATGTTACCTGCTACAATAAGTTAAGATACATTGACATATAGTGGGAACTACTTTACGTTGTCAACGACTCAACGTATACAAGTTAAATCCTTAACTAAAAGATGTAGATAATTGAAATGCCAAGATATGTTTTTCTACCTGTGAATGCATACTAGGAGGCTGGGGCTGTGAATCAGCAATAGCTGCAAGGTACATAAGATTTCTCTGAAGTTTAGCTTGGGACCTGCCACAGCAAGAAGAGTTACCACAAGTGTTTACTTAATAAATAGCACAGTAATATATTCCCTCCGGTCCATTTTAGTTATAACGTTTATCTTTTTATATGCTCCTTAAGAAAACATTTACTAAAAAGACAATTAGACTAAGGCCCCATATGGACATAATTCAATTGATTTGAAGTTGAAATTTTGTTTCGACAAATATTTTGGTTCAATTATTTATAGCAACCGTGACATTTAAAATACCATAGTGTAACATCTTTTCCAGGCTACTACTTTATATTTTATGTTCAAGTTTCAAGAATGTTACCCATATTATAAAATGCAATAATATTAAATCTTTTCCAGGCCACCATTCTATATTCTATGTTCATGTTTCAAGAATGTCATCATAATGTTGAATATATAAAAACATATTTCAAAATCAGGTGAAATATCTAAAAACAAGAATATTGATGAAGTGCATTCCGAATGTGTTAGCCTGTAACTAGAGATATAAAATTAAAGAATGATCAACTGAACTTACTCTGCACATTCACTTATTTTCCCAGAGTTCTGGCTCTCAACAATCTTCAGAATAAGTGATTTGTTCTCATCCAGGAACTGAAACAGAAAAGAACAAAAAGCCAGCTATTAAGTAAAAAACAAAAGGCAGCCCGGTGCACTTAGCTTCTGCTATGCACGGAGTCCAGGGAAGAGCGGTACCACACAAGGTCTATTGTACATAGTCTTACTGTGCATTTCAACAAGAGGTTGTGTTCAGTAAAACATAGAACTATATGACACTTAGGCCTTCAGTAATTACTGTCGATATCATTAGGATCTTTATGTATTACTATTATATTTAACAACTGAAAACTAGGGTCATTGTTAAATATACTAGCAATAGATAAAGATCTTAAAATATTTCAAAAGGGAAGATGAAGCCTTTTAGACTGAAGTTAACAGTTTTTACATTTAAAAAGTTCGAAAGCAACATTTAAAAAAGTTCAAAAACCTGTCAACACATTATTTACTAGTTTTTATTCACTCTGCAGAAAGCAATAAACTCAACTAACAGTCATTTTAGGAAGACATGAAATTACTAGAAAGAGAACAAAGTATACATGGAGTACATTTTTTTTTTAAAAAAGTTAACACAAGTTTCAAAAAGAAAAGGCAAGAACCTAAAAACAACATCTTTCTTTTTGTATATGGCCACAATAAACCTTGAGTAAAAATACCCTTTAAGCAGGACTTCTTTCAACCAAGAATGCAACCTTTTTCTTTATACATGAACACAGACAATAAACCTTGAGTAAAAATTTCCCTTTTGTATGGAAGTTTTTGTGTTCCATGTATAAGGCAACATAAGTTTCAAGAAGAAAAGGCAAGAACCTAAAAAGCAACATCTTTCTTTTTGTATATGACAACAATAAACCTTGAGCAAAAATACCCTTTTTGTATGCAACTTTTTGTGTTCTATGTATAAGGCAACATAAGTTTCAAGAAGAAAAGGCAAGAACCTAAAAAGCAACATCTTTCTTTTTGTATATGACAACAATAAACCTTGAGCAAAAATACCCTTTTTGTATGCAACTTTTTGTGTTCTATGTATAAGGCAACATAAGTTTCAAGAAGAAAAGGCAAGAACCTAAAAGCAACATATTTGTTTTTGTATATGACAAGAAGAAACCTTGAGCAAAAACACCTTTTTTCTAGCAGGACATTTATCAACCAAGAATGCAACTTTTTACTTTCTTTTTGTGTTTACTGTATATGACCACAACAAAACTTGAGCAAAACACACCCCTTATTAGCAGGACTTTCTCAACCAAGAATGCAACTTTTTTATTTCTTTTTGTGTTCCCTTGACATGACCACAAAAAACCATAAGTAAAAACACTTTTTTTTATAGCAGGACTACATCAACCAAGATTGCAACTTTTCTTTCTTTTTGTATTTCCTGTATATGACCACAACAAAACTTGAGCAAAAATACCCTTTTTCAAGCAGGACTTTACAACAAAGAAGACAACTTTTTTTCTTTCTTTTTCTGTTCCATGTATATGACCACAAGTAACCATGAGCAAACACTCTTTTAGCAGGACTTTTATCAACCAAGAATACAACTTTTTTTCTTTCTTTTTGTGTTCCATGTATATCACAACAAACAATAAACCTTGAGCAAAAATACCCTTTTTTCAGCAACACTTTATCAACCAAGAAAGCAACTTTATTCAACTAGAAGCCAAGAAAAAGCAACCAAAGCATAACAACAGCTAGTACAACACTGCATACATACACAAAGCACTCAGCCAACCAGCCAGCCACAGAGAGAGAGAGAGATAAGCAGATAAGAGAATCAAGAAAGAAAAAATAAGTAAAAGAAGAAGAAAACCTGTTGAATATGATCAGTAGTGACATTGTTGGGATAATAGGCTGCCATCATGGGCTGCATCTGCATCAGGTGCTGCTGCTGCATATTTCCCCCTTCACTCTTTTTATACTCAAAATTGTCTTGTTCCTTGCATAAATCAAGAAATGTAGTTAAAGAAAAATTCCCCCTTTTTTTAGTTTTCTTGATTTACAATATCACTTGAGTTTGAATAGTGACACAACAATACTAGTGGAAAAAAAATTTGATGGGGACAAGAGACAGTAGTTGCAGCAGCAGCTAGCTAGGTAGGAGAAAAAAAGCTGCCTTTGTACTCACTGTAAGTAAGTAAGAGAGAAAAGAATCTAAATTCTGGGCAAGCAAAACCATTACTATAAACCCTGATAGGGAAGTAAAGGATTTTACCTGCTTTGGGCTTTGAACCTTTTCTCTTATTTTAACCTTATCATCAACCTATTGGACAGAGATGATAGTATAGTATCCTCAAACAGTAAAAAAATCAAAAATCTTGCCATCAGACTTCTATAATGGAGAGTCAAAACTCCATTATTTTGGTGGATCGATAAAAAATTACACTATTTATATAAATACAAAGTTATGCTAAGTGGTGTGCTAAGCAACAATATTGACGCAAAAGAATCGTTCTAAAGGTACTCTTAAAGATCGTTTGATTTGAAGACAAATAATATCATCATATCTAATAGTATGAATTTACTAGTCAGTATTATCAATATGTCATATTCAATATTATTTTTATACATGAATACTTTTTATATCCTTGAAAATTTGGCTACACATATTATATTTTATTGACCACTAGGATCGGACTAAAGAATCTTAGGGGTTATTTGGTTTGTATACAAGCTATGCCGAGATTTGTTATGCTAAAATTAGTTATGCTGGGAGTAATTTTTTTTGCTTATTTGATTTGTCATATTCAAACTTATATTTATTGCATATTTTTTAAGAATAAGTTGTTTGTTTACAAAAATATCTTTCACAATATTTAGTTTTTTTTTTTTTACATTTTCTTTGCAAGCTTTAGTTATTTATTCTTAAAAATAAAATTTTCTTCTTATTTAACTTAAAAATAAAACCTTCATTTTATTTAGTTTAAAAATAAAACTTCCATCTTATTTAGCTTAAAAATAAAACTTTCATTTTAAGTTTATTAAAGTAAAAGATATTTTATTATTAAAGTTATCTGCATTTTAAAGTTACCTACATTTTAGTTGATATATAAAAAATAATTTTTAAGTGAGTAATAAACTATTTAATTAAAAATATGTAATTTAGTAGTGGAGTTAACATTTTAAGAGAATTAAAATATAAATAAACATAAGAATTAGGCAAATAAATTCAACTTATAATATATTCATAAATATAAATTGTATTGAAGATATAAATTTTTTAATAGAAAAATATATCATCATAAAAACAATGAATAATTAAGGTTGTTAATATTATTATAAATGTTGTTAAAAATTATATTAATCTAAAAATGGTGTATAAAAGAGAGTTTAAGGGCGATATTTTTATTATTTTACATACTTTAAGGGGACTAATTGTTAATCATGAAATAAGTTAGCTTAACTTTTACAACCAAACATCGAAAAAGGGCCCTCAAAAATTATTCTGAAATTAACTCTTCTTATCCATCACACCAAACGATCCCTTAGGGTTCGTTTAGTTTGAAGACAAGTAATATCCCCATATCTAATACCAATACTACTATTATCAGCATTATCAATATATTATATTCAATACTATTTTTTACATCCACAAAACTGCCCTTCAATATTACGGACAATAAATTTCAAAAGTATATTTTCAACTTTGTGCCAAGTGAGACTTTACATCACCTAAATTGAAAATAAGGGATATCATCCATGGTTTTTATCTATATGAAAATTTAATAACGCATGGTATATTTTATTTTATTAACCACTAAATTATACGCTTGAACAAACGATTCAAAAGACAAAAGGCAAACATAATCTTGATTTAAATATAACAAGGTAGATGGGATTCTGCAGTTTAAGAATATATATATATATATATATATATATTCTTAAACTGCAGAATCCCATCTACCTTGTTATATTTAAATCAAGATTATGTTTGCCTTTTGTCTTTTGAATCGTTTGTTCAAGCGTATAATTTAGTGGTTAATAAAATAAAATATACCATGCGTTATTAAATTTTCATATAGATAAAAACCATGGATGATATCCCTTATTTTCAATTTAGGTGATGTAAAGTCTCACTTGGCACAAAGTTGAAAATATACTTTTGAAATTTATTGTCCGTAATATTGAAGGGCAGTTTTGTGGATGTAAAAAATAGTATTGAATATAATATATTGATAATGCTGATAATAGTAGTATTGGTATTAGATATGGGGATATTACTTGTCTTCAAACTAAACGAACCCTAAGGGATCGTTTGGTGTGATGGATAAGAAGAGTTAATTTCAGAATAATTTTTGAGGGCCCTTTTTCGATGTTTGGTTGTAAAAGTTAAGCTAACTTATTTCATGATTAACAATTAGTCCCCTTAAAGTATGTAAAATAATAAAAATATCGCCCTTAAACTCTCTTTTATACACCATTTTTAGATTAATATAATTTTTAACAACATTTATAATAATATTAACAACCTTAATTATTCATTGTTTTTATGATGATATATTTTTCTATTAAAAAATTTATATCTTCAATACAATTTATATTTATGAATATATTATAAGTTGAATTTATTTGCCTAATTCTTATGTTTATTTATATTTTAATTCTCTTAAAATGTTAACTCCACTACTAAATTACATATTTTTAATTAAATAGTTTATTACTCACTTAAAAATTATTTTTTATATATCAACTAAAATGTAGGTAACTTTAAAATGCAGATAACTTTAATAATAAAATATCTTTTACTTTAATAAACTTAAAATGAAAGTTTTATTTTTAAGCTAAATAAGATGGAAGTTTTATTTTTAAACTAAATAAAATGAAGGTTTTATTTTTAAGTTAAATAAGAAGAAAATTTTATTTTTAAGAATAAATAACTAAAGCTTGCAAAGAAAATGTAAAAAAAAAAAAACTAAATATTGTGAAAGATATTTTTGTAAACAAACAACTTATTCTTAAAAAATATGCAATCACCCTTGATTTAATAATCAACATTGTCATGTTAATTTGTTTGTCAAATTTTAATTTGATACAATATTTTAAAAAATAAATTTAAAAAATTAAACTTTATAAATTTAGATTAAAAATATGTAATATATGTATTAAAATATCGTTTGATTTTATAGTTTGAAATATTATGAAAAGTTAAAATTTAGAAGTTATAAAAAAAATCTTTTTAAAACTATATAAAAAAAGAAGAGTAAAACAAAGAAATTAACACACATACTTGTATGTGAAATTGAAAGACTATAAAACGACAAATGTGTATGGGGAGAACATAATCAATCCTTCGTAAAATATTAAACTCGTTTGATCGGACTTTTTTAGCATTTCTAATGCGATTGATTGTCGTCAACTTAACTTATAATTTCTCAGAAATTATTTAAAATTAATAAATATTTAAGATTTATAGATCATCACTTTAAAAGAAATTAATTAATGTTATTTTTACTTTATGTCTGATCGAACGAAACCACATGAATTGAAAATTGAAATGAAGTATTTCATACCTATTTAAATTGACTTATAATTTATGACTTATTTTTTATGTTAAGTTAAAAATACTTTTTAATATTATTTAAATATCATAAAAATATATTTTAAAATTATTTTAATTTTAAAACACTTAAAATAAATAGTTTTAGGGGGTTGGGCCTTTTTGGAGGGTTCAAATTAAACTGTAAGCTAAGCAAAGCTATTGCTGCAGCAGATTCTTTATAAGTAGGTAGGTTACTAGGGGTATATTGCACTCTATATCAATTTATCGAATCGTTATAATAATTGAGAAATAGAATAATTATTAGATGATTATCGTTTTATCATGTGATTATTTATTTTATTTTTATGTTTTATGATGATTTACATGAATCAACATTATTATTATTGTATTTATTTTTTTATTCTCCTTTAATTAGTTTTTTCTCCTATTATTTAATATTCTAAAATCTCTCAGGACAATTAAACCTTCTATATTATGTCAAATTTATTGTTGTCTGACTATTAAAAAAACTCAAATTTGCATTTTATTGTCTTCTTCAAATTTCAATTATTGCAACACCTTAACATTAATTTAACATCATTATATTAATTTATCAAATTTAACACAACACTATTTCAATATAATATAATTTATCAAATTTTTTAGCTAAATTTTATTATTCTAACTTTATATTATATTGTTTCATTAAACATGTCTTACTTCATATAATTTGCATATATCTTATCTTTTTCACACCTCTAACCTCACTAACAGAATTTCCAATCTTCTAAAGATAATTTTAAGTAAAATATAATTTGCGTATACTCTATTTTATTCTAACCCCCTTATAAATTTTTTTAGTGAATATGTGGTCGTTGTGTTTCTTCTTCTTTGAGTAACTATCAATGGAGTTACTCAATCACAAACAAAGATTATGGTGGAATAGCCCTCCTGGATATAAAATCACCTTTGTTAGAGAGTGTTTTACCTTCAATGTGGATTTTCTGGTGCGAATTCAAATTTAGTCGGGCTCCAACGTAAATACCGAACACCGGATGAGAAATTTAATAAGTTGCTCAATTTACATAATATTTTTTAATTTTCTCACTCGATATTCTGTATCGATATTGGAACTCAATTATTTTTTAATACACATGATCGCTTCCCGTAGGATCCATTTCGGAAGAAAAACACTCTCTATAAAAGTTTCTTTTATATTCATTCATGACTCAAATCCAAAATCTCTAAGTAAATGAAAAACTGCATCATTCACTGCACGATATTCTTCGACGTTCAGTCTACATATATTAAAAAAGTAGGTCACGTGATGGATGATGATAAGAAATAATTAAAAAAAATCGTCTTATTATTACATGCACGTTTAACAAAGCAAAAGGACGTACAGGCCTTGGGCTTTGGGCTCGGGTAGATCCGGTCCATTTGTTATTTAAACCCACCATGACATCATCACTTTCACATATTCAAGAAATTCTTTTTTTTCTTTTTCTTTCACGCATAATTATATTTTGTGCTAATCGATGCAGGCATATTCTTTTTTATTTTTTTTTCATATAAAAAAAGGGAAAAGGCATAAATTCGCCTTCAATTTGTACCGAAAAGTTAGTTACATACTTTTACTATTATGACGATCTATTACACACTTTTACTATTTAAAAGTGATTTTATTTACTCCCTAAAACTGACGTGGCAAAAAAATAAAAAATTGGCGC